TTTTATGAAGATTCCTTAATACCATAGATCTTAGCCATCTCAGCAAAATATTTCTTTCTTTCCTTTTTAAGCCAAGAACTTGCATTCTTTCATTTAAAGAAAGCACTTTACAGTTTCTCTTTGGCGTATCCAAATTTCCAGCATCACCACTTTTTGCCTTAGGACTGTTGTTAAGAACAATGAGAGTGATTTGACCACAACCACTGTAATGCCTCACACAAGATGACCAAAAAATGACTTACAGGCAGGGAGCAGGGAGCATATACAGCGTGGAGACCTGACCAAAGGGATGAGTCAAGTCCTAGGTGGTATGCCTCAAGATTTCATCACACTACTTAGACGGCGGACAATTTGACACTTACAAATTGTTTATTTCTGGAATTTTCCATTAAATATTTTCAGATTGCAGATGAAATGTAAAAAATGAAATGGTGGCCTAACCGGTTTGGATCAGTGGATAGTGTTGGCCCGCAGAATAAAGGTCCTGGGTTCCATTCCAGTAAAGGACGGGCTCAATCCCTGGTCCTGGTCAGGGTGAGTGCAGGAGGCAAATAATCGAGGTGTCTCTCTCACATGTTTCTCTCTCTGTCTTTCCCCCTCCCTTCCATTCTCTCTAAAATTCAATGGAAAAATATCCTCAGATGAGGATTAACAAAACAAAACAAAAAGTGAAATGGTGGATTAGGAGGATACTATGCCAAGGATTAGGAATCACAATGGTGTTTCAAACCTCTTAAAAGCAATACCTAAAACTGGTCCTTGGGGGACTATCCTTAGAACAAGTCATTTTCCTGGAATTGACACATTAGTAGTTGGCAGAACCCCACATTAGTTCCTGTCAAGATAGGAACACACAAGACAAGTGAGGCTAAGGTCAAGCTCTGGTTGACTCCATCAGCCAAGCTAAAACAAGCTACTTTCACTTTTTAAAATTCTTTAAATTAAATTTATTGGGGTGACACTGGTTTGCAAAACTATATAGGTTTCAAGTGTACAACTCAACAAAACTTCTGTGCACACATGGTCTGCCCATCACCCCCAAGCAAAGTCTCTTTCCGTCCCCATTTTCCTCCACCTTGCCCACCTCCACCTAGCCCCACCATTTCTTCCCCTGTGGCTATCACCACACTGTTGTCTGTGTCTATGTGAGATGAACGCGTTTTTTTGTTAATCCCTTCACCTTCTTTCTTCTTGTCCCCTCTGCCCCCACCCCTCTGACAGCTGTATCCATGTCTCTGTTTCTATTTTGTTCGTCAGTTTATTTTGTTCATTAGATTCCACATATAAGTGAGATCGTTATATTTGTCTTTCTCTGACTGGCTTATTTCACTTAGCATAATAATCTTCAGATCCATCCATGCTGTCCCTTTTTTATGGCCGAGTAGTATTCCATTGTGTAAATGTACCACAGCTTTTTTATCCATTTGTCCACTGATTGGCACTTGGGCTGTTTTTTTGGTTATTGTAAATAACATCACTATGAATATAGGGGTGCATAAATTCTTTCAAATTAGTGTCTCAGGTTTCTTAGGATATATTCCCAGAAGTGAAATTTCTAGGTCAAAAGGCAGTTCTAATTTTTAAAATCTTTATTCTTGAAATAATTATATATGTCCTCCTTTTTCTCCCATTGACCCCTTATAACTGCTCTGACTTCCCCCCCCCACCACCACCCCAAGCCTCCACACCCTATTGTCTGTGACCATGGGTTATGGATGTATGCATACAAGTTCTTTGGTTGATCTCTTCCCACCCCCACCTTCCCTCTGAAATTTCAGTCCATTTCATGCTTCTATGTCTCTGGATCTACTTTGATCAACAATTTATTTTGTTCATTAGATTCTACATATGAGTGAGATCATGTGATACTTGTCTTTTTCTGACTGGCTTATTTCACTTAGCATAATACTCTCCAGGTCTCTGCATGCTGTCTCAAAGGGTAAGAAATCCTTGTATTTTACAGCTGCATAGTATTTCATGTGTAAATTTGCCACAGCTTGTTTATCCACTCATCTGCTGATGGGCACTTAGGCTGTTTCCAGATCTTAGCTATTGTAAATTGTGCTATGAACATCGGGATACATGCATTCTTTCTGATTTGGTATTTCTGGTTTCTTAGGATATGTTCCTAGTAGTGGGATAACTGGGTCAAATGGTAGTTCCATATTTAATTTTTTTTTAAGAAATTCCATAGTTTTCCATAATGACTGCACCAATCTGCATTCCCACCAATAGTGCACAAGGGTTCCCTTTTCTCCACATCATCACCAGCACTTGATTTTTTATGACAGCCCTTCTGACAGGTGTGAGGTGATATCTCATTGTGGTTTTAATTTGCATCTCTTGGATGACTAGTAACATTGAGAATTTTTTCATATGTCTATTGACCATTTGTATGTCCTCTTTGGAGAAGTGTCTTTTCAGGTCCTTAGCTCATTTTTTAATGCATTGTCTTCCTGGTGTTGAGTTGTGTATGTTCTTTATATATTTTGGAAATTAATCCTTACAGAAATACCATTGGCAAATATGTTCTCTCATTCAGTGGATTCCCTTTTCATTTTCTTAATGGTTTCTTTTTCTTTTCTTTTTTTTTTAAACAACTTGTTCACCAAGGGTTTTGTGTGTGTGTGTGTGTTTTAATATATTTTATTGAATTTTTACAGAGAGGAAGAGAGAGGGATAGTTAGAAACATCTATGAGAGAGAATCATCAATCAGCTGCCTCTTGCACACCCCCTACTGGGGATGTGCCCGCAACCAAGGTACATGCCTTTGACCGGAATCAAACTGGGACCCTCCAGTACGCAGGCCGACGCTCTATCCACTGAGCCAAACCAGTTTCGGCTTAATGGTTTTTGTTGTGCAAATGTTTTTTAGTTTGATGTAGTCACATGTTTGTTTCCCTTGCCCTTGGTGATGTATCTGTGAAAATTCTGCTATGAGAAATGTCTGAAATTTTACAGTCTATGTTTTCTTCTAGGCTTTTTATGGTTTCGTGATTTATACTTAAGTCTTTTATCCACTTTGAGTTTATTCTTATATATGGTGTAAAATAGTGGTCTACTTTCATTTTTTTCATGTACTGTCCAATTTTCCCAATACCATTTATTGAAGAGACCATCTTTACTCCATTGTTTGCTTTTGCCTCCTTTGTCAAATATTAATTGACCATAAAGGCATGGCTCTATTTCTGGGCTCTCTGTTCTGTTCCATTGATCTATATGCCTATTCTTATGCCATGCCAGAGACAATAGGCCACTTTCAGATTCAGACATTTTGTTACTTATTTAGAGAGTGAAAAGAAGAAGCCAAAGGTGTCAGATCCCTGTGATCCTTGTCCTACACACCAAAAAGGACAACACTGAAACAAAGGGGTCATGGGACTGCAGTATGAGGACCCTGTTGCTCAGGAGCCACTTCCGGTCTCCAGCTATGCAGTTTCATATTGTGTAGCTCTATCGGTAGGAAGGGAATGACACAAAGTCCTGTACCTCTTCAGACAGTCTCCCAGGGGAAACAGGGATGTGAGTGGAAGATGGCTTCTCCTCCCATTCTGTTTTGGACGGATCACAAGGCATTTTTCCAAGACAGATTAGCTGCAGTTCAAACCAGCTCTTGCCTACATGGCTTATTTGGATATCTGCAAGGTGGTTGGGTGACATGGCCAGAGCTGTTCCCGTATTGGCCTATGGGATAAGGCTATCATATTGCAAAAAGCTTAACAGGAAACCTCTAAATTCTTCCCTAGTCCCCTTTTAGGATAGTAAATTATAAACAACATCATGCCCCCAGGGGAAATAGCAATTTAATGCAATGCTTAAAGATTTGATAGTTGATAGCCCCCATCATATTTCTATTTTCACCAGTCTGGCTCCCACAGAAACAGAGCCAGGAGGTGACAGGAGACTACTGCAAATTCAATGAAGTTGTAGCCTCAGTTGCAGCTCTGATAAAGTTACTAGAGCAGATCCATGACCTCAGCATAAGGCACGTGTTTGTTGATCTGGCAAATTCCATTTCTTCATTATCAGGAAGGCCAGAGAAGAAGTACCTATTTAATCTTCCCACGGCTATATCCTAAAAGAGAATAACCTAACGAGTAAAGGGAATTAAGGGGTGTACGTAAAGGCCGCATGGGCAATAGAAAGATGGGGGAAAATAAATCTTATCCCTAGCAAAAGGCCACTATATGAGATTTGTATTCATATTTCTGAGCATCAACTCATTCATTAGGATAATATCGAAATGAGGGAATACAAGCTTTTAAAAACAAAATCCCAAAATGGAGCAGTGACACAGACTCTCTGTTGGAACCTCATAGATGTTATAGGATGTTTTATTGACCAGAAACACTCAGTATTGCTCCCTAAAGAATGAGTAAATTACCCTACTCTGCTGAACTCAGGAATGACCATGTGACTTGTTTGGCCAGTTAAATGGGGAAAGAATCACCTCCAGGCAGCCAAGTACTGGTAACCCAGCACTCCTGTGTCTCAATACACTAAGCAGCAGCGGAAGTCTCCGATGGCTCCAGGCAGCTCTGCAGCCGCAGGGAAGGTGAAGGCCGGGAGGTCCAGGGGAGGAAAGGCAGAGCCTGAGGCTCGGGAACAGCCCCCGGCTGAAGCCGGGAGGGACCCAGAGGCTTAAAAGAGAGCCGGGCTGCAGTTTCAGTTGGGAGCTTGACCGCCCGCCTCGGGGCCCCGCCCTTCACCGCGGATCCGCGAAACACGACCAATTCCCGGGATTTCCCTCCGACGGCTGCAGACACCCGAAGGGGCGGAGCCAGAGGACCTCGCGGCGTTAATAGCTCTTCGGGATCTCGAGAGAGTTGCATTTCTCGCGACATTTCCGGAGTCGCCCTTCCACGCGGAGTCGGGACGCGTGTGCCGTGACCGAAGTGCAGGGAGGGCGGAGACTGTGCGGGAGGGAGAAGCCCCTTTGGCCTGCCCTACGGAAGCCTGCGAGGGAGGGTGGTGACCGCTACCCCGTCCAGTTGCCCCGATGCCCAGCGCCAGCGCCAGCCGCAAGACTCAGGAGAAGCCGCGGGAAGTCATGGACGCGGCGGAAGTGGGTCTCCCCCTTCCTCGGGCCGGGAGGACAGACCCCTGGGCCGGAGCGCGCGGAGGGCGGGCGGGGGGTGAGCGGGACCCTGCCCTCGGGGTCCGTATCGGCCCCTCGCCTGCGGGCCGCGGGCTGGGGTCCGGGCGCCCAGGACCCTCGCCGGGACTCCGGGGTCTTGGCCAAGAAGCGCGGCCAGACGCTCTCCGGACCGGACCGCTTTCTCCCCGGCCTGGCCCACGGGGAGCGGGCCGCGAGGAGGGGTGGACGTGAGGCTGCCCCTACCCCTGCCCCGGAAGTGGCAGCGCGGGGTCACCCTGGAGTCTCCCGGGTTAGGCACGTCCCTCGCGTCATCTACCACCACCACCTCGGACACTGACAGCACTTATTAGCAAAACGGCCTGACAGTGTGTTGAATGGCCGTTTTCCGTGTGACAGCTGTAAAGAACACTTGTCATTTTTTATTTTCTTCCTCCCTATAAGTGATTCGGTGAGGTAGGAAGCTTACAGAGAGTGCGTTTGAGATGAAGTGACCCAAAATCTTGTGGGGTAATTCATAACACCCAGGGGTCCTTCAGTGCTTTTCAGAAATGAAAGTTTGATCCCATCCTACAAGTTGTATGTGTGGTGGTAAAACTGAGCCTTGACTCACTGCCCGGCTCCTAATTTTTCTACTTGTGACAAACTATATAAGGAATGGGACATTGTAAGAATATGAGCTGGAATAGGGGTTGCTGAAATATGAACTAATCCATTTATGCTGCCCTGATGCTACATTGTATAACTATATCTTTTTACCAGGGGTGGGGTTATCTTTGTCTTTAAGATTGGTTGGTTTATTTTTGTATAAACATCCCAAAACCCGAATCCTCCAGATTAAAGGAGAGGGTTCTAACAGATAGCTATAGAGTGATAGAAACAAATTATTTCATATATATACATATATATATATATGTATATCTCAAGTTACCATGTAAAATCTAAGGAAATTATTTGGGTATTTTTTATCTGACTATATAAACTAACGCAACCTTGCAGATAGCTCAGGTCTAGAGATAAGGTAGACGTTGTGGCAGGCTTATGTCATTTTATAGCTAGAAAGCTCTTTAGAGATCATTTTAGAGGTTAAGAGAGGTTAAAATAAAAGGTCACTTATCTATATAATAAAAGCCTAAGCGACCTTTACGGAGGAACAATTGGAAGACCGTCCGCTATGATGCGCACTGACCACCAGGGGGCAGACTCTAAACACAGGAACTGCCCATAGGGGGAGTGCTGCTCAGCCAGAAGCCAGGCCAGGCTCATGGCTGGTGAGCGCAGCTGCCACAGTGGGAATCTCCCCACTCCACAGCAGCAGGCATGGAGTGGCATGAGTGGCGCAGCACCTGACCCTGATTCAGGCTCCACTCTGTTCACCTGCCGTCAGGATGTATGACTCCTGATTTAGGCAGTCAGACATCCCCTCAGAGGTCCCAGGCTGCTAGAGGGATATCCGATCACCGGCTTAGGCTCAATCCCTAGGCTGGCAGTGGACATCCCCTGAGGGGTCCCAGACTGTGAGGGACCCCTCCATTGCCTTGCATGAATTTTAGAGTAGCAGGCCTCTAGTCTTTTTAATAAATATAGTGTTTTAAGAAAAGCCTAAACCCTAGATCTGTAAAAAGAAATTTGATATTTTGTCATTGTCACTTGCAACCTAGCGTGCTGAAGCTGATTTTTAGAAACAGGAAACTGGTGGGGTTTTGTTTTGTTTTTTAATCTTTTCCAAATGGAAAGTTGTAGTTAGCTTATATCCAACATCTTCAGTTTCTAAAAATGTGACATCTGGTGCTCAGAAAGCTTACCAAAAAATGCTGGTTCTCTTTGAACATCTCTTCCTGTAATAGGAAGTTAATAAAACAATGGTGCTTCATCCTATTCCCTTCTCAGAGGAAATTTATATTCCTGCTTTGAAGTGGGTTAATCTCATTTTGAGGAAGATAGTTACTTTGTGTTGTACATGTGTAAATTTCATCTGAGAGTGCTATTATTTATGGTATATCTCTCCAAGAGTAGTGTACTTTAAAACAAACAAGCCAGAACCCAGGTACTTATCCTTTTTCTATGGAGTACATATGTAAATAACATGACAAATTTCCACCCTTTAAAACTATGACTCTGAATTAATAAAGTGGTCCTGATAGTGAAAAGGAATTTATTTTTACATTGTTGTTTGTATTTATGTGTTTACTATGCTATTAGTTTTTAAATAAAAAGTTATAATGCAAAACATTTTTTGTAGGATTATGCTAAAGAAAGATATGGAGTATCTTCAATGATACAGTCTCAAGAAAAATCAGGTTAGTAGCCATGTGATAATTAAAGCTTTTTTTCTTCTAATTCCAGGGAAACTCTTTCTGAAGTTTTAATTAAGGTTGGCATAACTTTGAAAAATGTAAATGACAGTAACAACACAAGCAGGTGTTATAATCCTGTATAAACATATGTTAGTTTGGTTAGGGTTCCTAATCTAGAAAGAGAAGAAAAAACGTTAAATGAGTATATTTTAAGAGTTATGTTATGTTAAAAAGATATTCCTAAGTGGTTAGGTAAAATATTTAAGATTTAACTCTGGCCCAGGAGATAAAAGAATGTTAATAGTAACTACCTTCATCATTTACAACCTTATACATGCTTTATGAAACTACCTTCTTTACTCTCCCCTTGATTTTATTAGATTTCTTTGAAATTGATTTGACACATATTATTTCTCTTAGACCTGTAGATTTTCTATTTGTAAACATTTGCCTTTTGTTTTTATTTACTTATTTATTTGTGCTTTCAGTAGATTATCTTACTTAACAATCATTTTTCTTATGGTAGACACTCCAAAGTCCAAATTATGTCTTTCAGTCTTTGGTACAACTGCAGATCTTTAAGTTCTGGCCAATTGGAAGTACTTCTAATTTACAGACTTGACTATGAATGTTATGCTTTGGAAATAACATATCTCTGGGTTAATTTTATTGTGATTTTGGATTCAATTTATTGCATGATCATAAAATCACTTTCCTTCCCAACTTTTTTCCAAAGTGCAAAATAATGGGCAAAAAAATATACCATTCCAAAAGATATAGATGGTGAAGTAAAATAATTGAATATAAAATGGGGTAGAAGCAGTATAGTTTGGAGATGACATTCCCCTGCCAGAATAAGCAAGAGGGGTCATTTGAGACTTTGTTTTTAGCATAATTATCTTCCTGAAGTGGACCTCCTTCAGCTGTAACACAAATATGCCCACTGGAGTTTCAATTTATTATGTAAGTCCTAATCACCCCTTGCCATAATTGCTGTTCCCATTTGGCTGGCAAATCCAGACAACTGTTTTCCACTTACAAGCTCTCCCCAGCAGAGGGAAAGAAAACTGTGTGTTTACAGTAGCCTAACAGTAAAATTCTGCCTTTGGTTTTATCTCTGCTAAAATCCTTACACTTTGTTCAGGCAAAGTTTCCTTCCCCATATGCTTCCATTTCTCCAAAGTTCTTCATTCTAATGCCAGTGTCTTAAAAGTGTGGAGGAGGCAATAGTTTTTTAAGCTGAACCCCTACTGCCACTTATCATTGGTGAGAATGTGACATGTACCTCAAGAATCTGTAGATATGTTAAAGGTTGAGAACCCCTATGCTAATTAGTTGGAATACCACATGAAAGAAGGGCTATTATTCTGTCTTTTTCAAAGTACTAGTAAAGTTACCCCAATCATGACATTTATTAATGTCTTCTCAGATTTATGTTGTTATGTTTCATTTGATTTTGAGTTTTTATTGCCTGGTTATTAGTAAGTCGTTGGCTTTTTCAATTTTGGTATTTCCAAATCTGTCTTAAATTCTTAAGCTATTTTGTCTCTCTTTTCTCTTTCACACTTTGTTTTGCCTAAATTTACACAGCAGACTTGGGAGTTGGTTTAACTCATAAGGTCTGTTGGCAATGCTTTGTAGAAATTCTCTTGTGATACCCAATGGCTTAAAAATTCCTCATTGTCTGCTTTTGGCAATGTGAACCATTGTATTCTCCTGTAATTCACATTCTCTCTAAGCTGCACCTTTGCTTCAAGAGACAAATTATAAGTATGTTTAGACAAAGTGGGTAGAATAAATATATTTGTTTAGTATTGGTTTTGTGTGGGTTTGTTTTTTCTCTTGGGGGGGGAGATTGTTTGTTTGTTTTTCATCCTCATCCGAGGGTATTTTTCCATTGATTTTTAGAGAGAGTAGAAGAGAGAGGGAAATACAGGAGAAATATCAATATGAGAGAAACACATCAATTGGTTGCCTCCTGCATTAGCCTTGACCAGGGCTGGGGCCGGGGAAGAGCCTGCAACCGAGGTACATGCCTTTAACTGGAATTGAACCTGGGACCCATTGGTTTGCAGGCCAACACTCTATCCACTGAGCCAAACCATCTAGGGCTTTGCTTAATATTATAACTTACTGCACAAGGTTTTACTGCACAAGATAATGACAGACTTTGTTAGGTAGGCAACATAACCCTTGAGAAAGAGACCTTTTAATACTCTTGATGTGATGTTATATCCATTACTATGTTTTTAATTAATACTTAAGTTTTAAATTTAATATTCAAATTATTACATATTTAAAAAATAAAATTTTTCTGGATCATGATTGCCTCATATCTAAGGTGACCAGACGTCCCACTTTTGGCAGGACAGTCCCAATTTTTAACTATTTGTCCTGTGTCCTGCAGCGTTTTTTAAAAGTCCAAAAGATTTAAAAGAATCTCTTCAGAAATTGGGACTTTTTTAAAACACCACCGGATGCGGGACAAATTGTTAAAAATCTGGACGTCACCTTACTCATATCACTATCTTCACGTATAGTTGTTTTGTTTGGAGAACTCTAGATGGATGTATTGGAGGATATAATTGTTGGGCCTCACAAACAGAATTTATTGGCTTACATAACTCTAGGGGAAAAAGGTGAGAGCATAAGGCATGATTGTATCTAGAGGCTCAATTGGTATCTTTAAAGCTTTAGTTCTGTATTTCTTGGCTCTGCTTCCCTTAGGTTTTTTTGCTTTATTCTCTCATCCTACAAACTCAGGTAGTGGGACAGATGGTGGTTGCAGCCCTGATCTTATACCATCTCAGCTCAGCAAGCCCAGGGGAGAGCTTCATTCCAGTATCTGTATATTAAGTCCCAGAGAAGGACTTTGATTAGCTCCGTTGGAGCAACATGCCTTTCTCTGGCTGAGTCACTGTGTCCTAGAGAATGGGGTACCATTGATACTATTGTAATTAACCAAGTTATTAATTGGGAAGGAGCAAAGGGAAGACATGCCATTTGTACAGCTTTGCCAGAAAGCTGCAGTTTAACATTCTCCGGGCCTGCTCCCCACAGATCCTCGGGGGAAGGGTCTAGACAATAAATGCATGCCTGATAAGGTATGGGTGATGAGGGAAGATGCTTGTCTGTCAATCACATCTGAGAGCAAGTTATTGACTAGAATAGGCATGGCCACTGCTAGAGTGAGAAATCTAAGATACATAAACTGAACAAAGAGAGTTCTCTCTCTCTTGGCTGTCTTATGCGCTGGGCTCCTGGCTCTCTTGTTGCAGGAGTCACTCTCTCCTGCACTTGCCTACATGGCCCACAGTCATGTGGACCCCATACAATGGACCAATGGACTGTAACCAGCCTGATGCTCTGCTGGACTCAGCACCACCACTGAACAGAGACTGTGGCTTTGCTTTTAGCACTGCTACATCCCCAGCTGCACATTTCCAGAACTAGTTTAAGGGAAATAGGACTTTTAAACTGAGATAAAATTCTATGCAGATAAAAATCACTCATTTCCACTAGCAGCAGGGAAATTCCACCTGTGCAATTCTCCTATAACACCATGACTATCCAGGCCTGGCAGAGAAACCTCCCTTTGGCTAGCTGACTTACATGCTATGGCAGGCAAGCTAAAATACCATGTCCACTTAGGCAAAGGTGGATGAGGATAGATTGTAGTTGGCCTTATAAATCAATTAAATGTTCAGCACATATGCATTTTGAAACACTTTGACTCCAGTGTAGACTGAATTAGGGAATTGGGATTATCGGAAGGTTATTGCTGTGATTTAGACAAGTACTTTGGGATGGGGGCAGTGAAGATAAAAGAATTGGATAGATTTTTATTTTTAGTTCTCACCTGACAATTCATATTTTAGAGAAAGAGGAAGGAAGAGACAGAGAAAATGAGTATGAGTGAGAAACATAAATTGATTGCCTCTTATACACGCCCTGACTGGTGATTGAACCTGCAAACTTTTGGTGTATAGGTGACGCTCCAAGCAATTGAGTCTCCTGGTCAGGGCCTCAATAATTATATAGGTGTTAGAGATATATTTAGAAAGTACAATTCACAAATTAAGAAGGTGTCAGAGATTGAAAACTAAGATAATACCAAGTACTTATGCTTGCTGTCAAATCAAAATAATTATGATCCTTTAGTAAATTCTGAATTGCTAAAATTGCTTCATTTATTTGCTGCAGATCGAGTTTTGGTTCGGGTTAGCAATTTGACAGAAAAAAAAGCTGATGAAGTTGTTTGGGTGCGTGCAAGGGTTCATACAAGCCGAGCTAAAGGTAAGATTGACTTAATGAGTAAAGAAAGGCCTTTTGCTAAGGAATCTAAACTTTTTTGTTTTGTGTATATTTCACAGACTAAAGTAAATCTTTAAAAATAAAACAAAATCACCTGTTTTCTTTTTTAAATCACTGTAAAATATTAGTCTGTGGTTAATTAATTTTAGATTATTATAAGATAGCCTTAAATATAAGTTGACCTTAAAAACTCAGATGAAACCAAATAAGGTTTTGATTTAGTATTTCTCAGAAGTTTAATTTTTTGAAGTGAAGAGTGTTTTTAGAAGCTTTTCATTTGTTAATATTCTTATACTAGAGGCAGAATGCATGAAAATCTATACACTGGTGAGGGAGGGTCCCTCAGCTAGGCCTGCCCCCTCTCACATCCGGGAGCCCTCAGAGGCAGGAGGCACCCTGGCAATCAGGGGAAGGCAATCCCCCATCACACTTGTGCCGCTGCCACTGCCAGCAGCACAAACCTTGACTGGCCTTGGCTACCTGAGCCTTGTGTCAGCCCTGGGCGGCTGGGCAGCTGCCATCCAAGGCTTGCCTGCTCCTTGGGCTGGCCTTGGGCAGCTGGGGGAACTGAAGGGACTGAGGGACTCTGGAGGCAGGTGCGCAGATCGGCTGGGCCCTGCCATGCCTGCAGTCTCAACAGGGCTGAGGGGACTGGGTGCTACCATCTTGTGGCTAAGGGTGCCGCCATATGGGGGGAGGGCAATCAATTAGCATAGTCCCTCATTGGCTGTGGGTGCTGTCATCTTTGAGGGTGGGGCAGTAATTAGCATATTCCTTCCTTATTGGCTAGGGCACTGCCATCTTTGTGATAGCATGAGGGTCAATTAGCATATTCCCTCTTTATTAGAAAGGGTTTGTAATATTTAGATAGGGAGAGAGGTGGAAGAGATAAAAGGCTAAAACTGGTTACCCAGTAAACTAACCACTGACTACATGTAGTTATTAAAATTCAATAGCTCAGTCACTACATGTATTTTGAGTGCGTAAGTGCCACAATGGCTAGTGGCTCCTATATTGCACAGACAGTACAAATATAGAAAGTTTTTTCTCATTGTAGAAAGTTTCATTGAATTAGCATTAACAACAAAAAAGAGGGATAAGTGTAGTTTAGACAAACCACAGTTCCTTATGGAAATTGTCCTAACCTAGTGTTCAGAATTATCTAAAAACTAGAGGCCCGGTGCACAGAATTTGTGCAGGCGGGGGGGGGGGGGGGGAGTGTCCCTCAGCCCACCCTGCACCCTCTCCAATCTGGACCCCTCGAGGGATGTTAAACTGCCCACCGGGATCAGGTCTAAATGGGCAGTCGGACATCCCTCTCACAATCCAGGACAGCTGGCTCTCAACTGCTTGTTACCTGTCTTCCTGATTGCCCCTAACTGCTTCTGCCTGCCAGCCTTATCACCCCCTAACCACTCCCATGCTAGCCTGATTGATGTCTAACTGCTCCCCTGCCAGCCTGTTTGCCCCCAACTTCCCTCCTCTGCCAGCCTGGTCACCCCTAACTGCCCTCCCCTGCAGGGTTGATCACTTCCAACTGCCCTCCCTTGCAGACCTTGTCCCTCTCAACTGCTCTCCCCTGCTGGCCATCTTGTGTCCACGTGGGGCAGGATCTTTGATCACATGGGGGCAGCCATCTTGTGTGTTGGAGTAATGGTCAATCTGCATATTACTCTTTTATTAGATAGGATAGGATAGATGAAATACCATGACTGAGATTTGCTTCAAAAAAGTACAGGCATTGAGAGATAAATGGATTAGGTTAAAGCTGAGATAAGAATGGCCATAAGGATTATAGATAGACATAATGATCATTTTGTACTTTTCTTTCAAATATTTATCTCATTTTATGTGGTTCTTTACAATAATTAGTTAGGTTCTTTCTAGTCCTGTAGGGATTTCCACAATTAAGGATTTTTTATACAGCAGAGATTTAAACTCCTATTGAGTTATTTCATGACCATAGGTGTTCTGCATAAAATGTCTTTAGAAAAGAATGCCATATTTTAAAAAGTATTAAAAGAAGTTTTCTTCTAGCCCAAGTTTTCTGTTATCAGAAATAGATGTTAAATTTTACAAAACCTTTCTCCAGCAATTTTTTTTCTCAAAATGTAATTGTGTTGAGTATATTTATGTAGAGGTTTATTATACTATTCTCTCTGCTTTTGTATTGGTTTGAAATTTTCTAGATATTAAAAATACAGTTGGTCCTCATTGTTCATAGATTGTGTATTTATCAATTCACAATTTATCAATTGCTAGAATGTGTTTGTAATCCCAAAGTCAATGTATGTGGCACTTTTACTGTCGTTCACAGACATACTGACTTGTATGTGTGCAATGGCAAAAAATTTGAATTGCCCAGTGCATACATTTCCAGTCAGGTCAAACACGGTGAAGCTCTGCCTTCTTGAGTAAGCTCTCATAAACAGGTGTCCTTTTCACAGCCTGTTGAATGTCACATTCTTCAGTTCTGTGCTTTTTGTTGGTGATTTGGCTGTTTAATGTGGTCCCCGAGTATAGTACTGAAGTGTTCCTAAGTGCAAGGAGGTTGTAATATGCCTTAAAGAGAAAATATGTGTGTTAGATAAGCTTCATGTGAGCATGAGGTATAGTGCTGTTAGCTATGAGTTCATGTTAATGAATTAACTCTATATATATTAAACTAGAGGCCCAATGCACAAAATTTATGCACAGCCCTGGCTTTGTCCGGAAAGTTGTCCGGAAGGACATCTGGTCTAATTAGCATATTATGGATAAAGTTTATTTAAACAGAAACATACAAATAAGGTTGTGTATTGATGGACTGATGAAAATATTGTAACAGACTCATAGGAACCTAACCCTGTATTTTCCCTAGAAGCAATGGTTCAATTGCTAATTCATTGTTCCTAGAGACTTTATGGAATATAACTATCACAAATAATAATCAATTATATATTATTGTAATGACTTATAATAATGGGTTTATTAATGTTGAACAATTTGTAGATACATGAAATAAACTGGATTTGGCAAAGATGTGAGTGGTATTTTTTAGTATACTAGTAGTACTAGGTTAAGTTTCAGATATATTTTGGAATTTTGCATTTAATCTGATCTTTATAACTTCTAATTGAAAAATCTTATTTTGCTTTTAAGGTTATATATGTGTTCTAAGTTATCTAAATAACGTTTTTACATGAATTTTTCAAAAAATATAGAAATGATATTTACTTTTTTGTTTTTTAATGTCTATCCTCTGCTTCAACATTTTCTTTTTAATATTTTTTATTGATTTTTCACAGAGAGGAAGAGAGAGGGATAGAGAGTTACAAACATCGATGAGAGAGAATCATCGATCAGCTGCCTCTTGCACACCCCCCACTGGGGATGTACCTGCAACCAAGGTACATGCCCTTGCCCGGAATCGAACCCGGGACCTTTCAGTCCACAGGCCGATGCTCTATCCACTGAGCCAAACCGGTCCCGGCTGCTTCAACATTTTCTATTAATTCTTAATAATTTGTTCAGCACCTTTCCAAAAATCTTCCTTTTTAATGTACGTATGTGCATACACACACACTCACACACACACACACACACACACACACACACATACACACAAACATACAGTTTTATATTTTGTGTGTGAGTTTTAATTTGTCTTATGTAAATGACATCATATTTTACATGTTATTCTGCATCTTCTAAAATTTTCAGTGAGCATTTTTCATAGAGATTTCTTCCATGGTACTAGTTATAGATCTACATAAGGCAGTATTTCTCAAAGATAGGTATCTAGAAGTGAGATTGCTGGATTGAAGGGTATGCATATACATACTTAATATTTCTAATACCAAAAGAACCTTTCAGTAACACTATATGTATTTATCCCACAAGTATGTGACTTTTTCCACATCTTGCTAATAGTGATTATCAATGTTTTCTGTTTCTGCTAAAGTGGATTATCTAAAAATAAATAAAATCTATGTTTTGAATTTGCTGTTATTCCTTTCTTACATTGTCTTACATTTTGGAAATGTCAATAAATATGACATATTTGGAATAATTTATGTGCTTTAACTCCAAAATTAGTAACACATTAAAACTGGGCTTAGGAAAAAAACAAACCACGCTAGCAGTTTCAAGTAGAGCAAAGCTGTGAAAGACCGTAAGTAAAGAAATGGAAACGCCAAAATCATAGAGTCAAAAGCATGACAATATCGAATCCTGTTATGCAAACAAAAAATCTAGTCTGTTTACATATCTGTAGTTTGTTTTAAAGGACAGAATTTAAAATCAGATTTCTTATACTAAGCTCATGTATGGCATTCCTAAAATTAAATGTTTTATATCCATCTATCACTCTTAATGATACCTTTAAAATTTGTTTCTTTCCATTGTGAAAGTTTAAGTCTGCATATTGAAAAAGTAATTGAAATATCAGTGGTCCTTTCAAATTGTATACGCTCTAGATGGAAATCATGGCATTAAATAATTCTCTTTCAATATTCTTTTTTCTAAAAACTTACTTTACATCCAAAATAGCTAATTCTTTTTGATAAACAGGTAATTTAGGATTTTAAAACCAAAGGTCAGATCAACTAACATCCAAGAGAGAGTACTTTAGGGAAAATAACAAACGGAAAGTATTTAAAATAGTAAGGTCTTTGCTACTTAACTTCCTAACTGATTAACATAAATGATGAAGGAAAATGTTAATGTTGGGAATCAGGAAGTTATGGTACATTATCTAAATAATGAATTCAGGAGCTTGGCGACCTGAAAGACAGTAGGAAGAGATCAGGACATAAGATGCCTCACATCTTTAATAGCCTAGTTCTTCCGCAGGGGCCTCTGCATTAGGAGCCGCACCACAATGGAGATGAGAATCTCTCCATTGTTGAGAGATTTGTTCTTACCGCCTACCATGTTGGTTCTTTAGCTCAGAAATAAAGATTGTACTCGGTGTGTAAAAGGAGGTTTCAAACTTTACATTT